TCCTCTCCAGGATCTGCCATGAATCATACAGGTCAAGAATTTATCTGGCTTGTCGACACCAGTCGTTTTCTATTATTCACTTATGTATTGCTACTGTTATTTGCGGGTCACTCAACTGTGGGAGGCCAGTCCAGTGTTGTCCAGCGATAATAATAACCCACCGTTAACTGAAGACGATTACAAACGCCAGTTTATCGAGTCTATTGTTGAACGGGGTCCCCTTAGCCTTGAATAATTCATAACTGCATATTAGTACAGGGTAAAAACGTGTTAAATCAGCATTCTTACCATGCTCTCCTGGTAGTCAGCTGGAGGTTCCCAGTTTCTGTGGTATGGTTTGTCCATTGCGTCGTCGTAGTTGAAGACGTGTGTGAAGTGTGTGACGGAGTACCCGGGATGGTCATGCAACCCTTTGCTGTTGCTTCCTTCAACAGACATGGTGAAGGCGTGTCTCTCTATTGTCACAATCACAAGAAGCCCAACAGTTGGACGTACGGTTCACTCCCAATTGTCAGACGTGCCATTCATCATACAGGCCAGTGAAGTGTGACAAGTATCACTGCCTAGTCTCACCTACTTGACCCGTGGGGGGCACGGGTGGCCCAGTCGTCTAAGGCGCCGCGATTCGCTGTGCAGAGTTGTGTCCCTTGGGCACGCCAGAAACCTATGATTGTGGGTTCGAATCCCGGTTCGCCCCGATTATGTTTCTAGGTTTGTCAGCACCATACCCGTGCTCGTGGGTTTCACCGAAGTGGTAAACGTCTGAAACCTGTATCACTTCGGGCTTTCCTCCCACATTAAGCTGACACGCCGCGATATAACTGGAATACTGTTAAAAGCGGCGTTAAACCCAACTCACTCACTCACTACTTGACCCGTGAAGATCCGGGTAGGAATTGGTCTTGAGCAACCCATACTTGTCGTAAGAGGCGACTAAGGGGATAAGGTGGTCATGCTCGCTGACTTGGTTTATACATGTCATCGCATCCCAATTGCGTCGATCGATGCTCACTGGATGCTCGGGATTACTAGTATTTATAGACCGCTGTCACACAGCTTGTGTATTGTAGAGTGCGGTGTTAAAGAACAAACAAATATAACCTAGTAAATAAATGAGCATTTCCTCAACGGGGAACAGAGTAAGATACTCCAACTCTTTAGGTGATACAGATGAACCCGATTATGATTGTGTTTATAAGTTGTGTTTTATCTGTGCCCGATTACCTTGGAGTAGTTTTTTTCAATGATACAGACCATGGGACTAAGTGTATGTAAAAAAAATCGTTTGACCTTTAACAGAGTATATTTTGCATTCTTATCAAGTTAACTAAATGCTAGAAAGAATAAGAACGCATTAACAAGATTAACATGAACAGAACAGAAAACATGTTGATTCAAAAAGGAAAACTTGGTCTACAAGCCCCTCGTCTTACAATTTACAGATACATGGATGAGGGAATCACTTGGGTTTTGCGAGTAATATTCAGTAATATATTTAATTCTATAATTGTTAAACTTTGGACATATTAATAAGAAATGATACTCATCCTCGACAATATCAATGGTAGATTGTTTACAAAAATCACAATATCTACAATCTCAATATCAAGTGCACTTTAACACCCAAAACTTAATACCCATGACACATCGTGGAACTTACAAATGAATCAAATAATTGACAACATGTCTTGCGCGTAAAATTACACGACTTTACATTCAAATACGAGTAATTCATGGCCTTCAGAGATTTTCCCCCTAACGCATTTTGCCATACAGAAAAGTAACAAAATTAATTTACGACTTCTAGCGCTTTACCATTTACAAACCACTTTTCCCCATAACGTAAGAGACCTACTACATAAACACAATTACATTTGCGTAAAACGGAGGGACGGACTTGTTGTACGATCAAATTTGTAAATTTGGCGGTAATTTCCTCATAAAACACCACATATGGAGCCTCTATATATACAGGCTCAGCCTCCGCTGGTTTTCGTTTCAGACTTTGAAATTGATAGACAGGAAAAAAGTGGAAATAAAACTTATTTACGCCCCGCTTTCGATGTTTTGAATACGATATCTGAATTAACGATGTCACGATCTATCCAAATCTGCAAAGTTGTATAAACCCACGAGACTTGCATTTTAAAAGTTTCACAAAAAAAGGGCGATAAAAAAATCAGTGTCTAGATTTGACTTTGATTTGTCTATTAAACAGTATGAGGTAGTCTCCGGAGAGTCTCTAAATCAGCTGAAATATACAATAAATACATAAGGCTTTGTAGAAACATCTGCAGATAACATTAACAGTAAAGAGTCGCTATGATTTCTTTCAGTACAATTGAATTCATTTCAATCCCCAATTATTGTTTTGCTCCATGTCCTTGTTAATAACGTCAAAGCTATGCAACACTAAGTTGGTAGCAGAGTGTTTTCTTCTATGGGACATTGTTAATCTCTCCACTTTTATGCAACCTTTTTTGGAAACAACAGCGGTAATTAGGCCTACGGCGTCATTGTTTTATTCGGAGATTTATGTATGACACCTTTCAACGAGCGATCGCTCGCACCACTTTCGGCAGTAAGAGAACTGGGTCATCTGTCATCTATTGTGTCATAAAGTAATCATGTCAGTAATAGACGTGTTGAATTACATAAACAAATGAAGAGAGTACGACAATTCAATCTTATATCATTACTGTCCTCCCTAGTAAGCGTCGTCGTCATTACAAAATTACACTGTATAGCATATGTATATAACATACAATTCAACATATAGATCTGTCACTGGCAGATACGCACTCATCAAATTTATTCATGAAATACGTAAAAAGAGGCTGTCAGCACTTGATAATGAAACTTGGTTCTGTGGAATGACAAGAATTTGCCAAACGGTAAGAAACTCAGAACCTATAGTACCATAGAACCTATAGGATTTATTAAGTCCAATGTCAAGAACCAAACGCAGGCTTCTATCTTAATTGAGATGTGTGTTTGTTGTTAACGCCGCACTCAGCAATATCCAAGCTATATGACGGCGGTCTGTAAATAATCGAATCTGGACCAGACAATCTAGTAATTGACGTCATGAGCATCGATCCATGCAATTGGGATACAATGACATGCATCAACCAAGTCAGCGAGCCTGACCACCGATCCCGTTAGTCGCTTCTTACGACAAGCATAGTCGCCTTTTACGGCAATCATGGGTTGCTGAAGACCTTTTCTACCCCGGATCTTCACGAGTCAAAATTGAGATGTGGACCCTTACCTATATTAGTTGGAACTGGTCGACACACAACACCTACTTCACCACAAGATAAACGTCACTGTCCCATCTGTAACTACCCAGGAAGCGAGGTTCTCTTTCTTGTTGACTGTCCTGTGCCCACTGATCTCCAATACTCTCTATCACATAGGATTCCGGGGTAGAATAGGTCTTCAGCAACCCATGCTTGCCGTAAAAGGTGACTATGCTTGTCGTAAGGGGCGACTAACGGGATCGGGTGGTCAGGCTCGCTGACTTGGTTGATGCATGTCATCAATCCCAATTGCGTGGATCGGTGTTTATGATATTAATCACTTGATTGTCTGGTCCAGACTCGATTATTTACAGACCGCCGTCATATAGCTGGAATATTGCTGAGTGCGGCGTTAAACAACAAACCAACTCTATCACATAGTGTGGATCGAGCTAACCGCTTCTTACATGTTTGCATCTCTAATGCAGAATAATAAAATGTGTTTGTATGTATGGATGCATGTATGGTTAAATGTGTACGTGAAGATGCAATTCACTTTTTCTTCAAAAATACGATATCAGAAACAATGTATTTCTACACACATGGGAATGATTTAAAAACGATGTAACATGGCGGTAGTTCAGTCACAATTCTACAAACATGACTATTCTTAAATCAGTTCACGATTTCATTGTCAATGGAAAGGGATTTGAGTAGCTTAATTTTATGCATGTGGTAATGGAAAACTGCATTATCTTATTTCACAGACACCACTTGCTTCAATGTATTGGCTTCATGTATTTCATTTGTGCATTTAGTATGTTTATGTTCAGCACTATCTTACATATAATCTTATATATAACCAGCTGTTGTAAAGTTGTCACCTGGAGATGTATTTACATAAGCAAGTTTTGCTTGTTTACCGATCCAGATACGGTTGTATGTATGTAAGTACCTTGTTTATAAGTGTGTGTGTGTAATATGTGTAAATCTAAAATATAAATGTAAAACATATATTGTAGCCATATGTTTTTATATTATCTCGCATAGCCCAGGACGGCCAGTGTACACGATATGGTCTTAATATATAATTACGGTTGGTGAGTGAGTGAGTGAGTTGGGTTTAACGCCGCTTTTAACAGTATTCCAGTTATATGCGTGTCAGCTTAATGTGGGAGGAAAGCCCAAAGTGATGCAGGTCACAGACGTTTACCACTTCGGTGAAACCCACGGGCACGGGTATGGTGCTGACAAACCTAGAAACATAATCGGGGCGAACCGGGATTCGAACCCACAATCATAGATTTCTGGCGTGCCCAAGGGACGCAACTCTGCACAGCGAATTGCGGCGCCTTAGACGACTGGGCCACCCGTGCCCCCATTACGGTTGGTAATATACATGGATGTACATGAGTGAGTCAAAAATAAATAATTTCTCCCTCTCCCTCTCTGTTTTAATTTGGTCATCAATAGTGCGCATAGTGATGTATCGAAATTACAATCATACATTACAATCTATATTATCAACAAGGTCCACAAATCTAGATAAAACCACACTGATATAATTTGTTAAACGACAAAACCTTGATTATCAATATTTTATCAACAGACAAAATATTAGTTACAAATCCACATATTCAATTTAAACATATTGGGGTTGATATGTAACTCTACAGACACCCGGAACCCAAGAAAGTAGAAACGAATCTTCAACACGTGAAGAAACATCACATAAACGTGTTAAATCAGCATTCTCACCATGCTCTCCTGGTAGTCAGCTGGAGGTTCCCAGTTTCTGTTGTATGGTTTGTCCATTGCGTCGTCGTGGTCAAAGACGTGTGTGAAGTTGCCGGAGTACCCGGGATAGTCACGCAACTGTTTGCTGTTGCTTCTTTTAACAGACATGGCGTGGGCGTGTCAGCGGGATAATCACAACAAGCCCAATAGGTGCGCGCTGTTATCCTTCAGGTGCAGATGCTCAAAGAGATCGATGCGTGACAAACACGTATCCGGCTTCACACACACGTGATAATGGACGATATAAAAAAGATATTATCCCGGAAATCCTAATATAACATTAGAACTGTACAAAAAATATGTTTATCTCCAATATACATTTCCAATGAAGATTAAATAATTCCCACGAAACATCCATCAATGGTTGCCTGATTCAAACACTAAACCCGATTTCCATTGTAAACACAGTTTCGTTGTTCCATTAGTGAAAGTTTGATATCACTTTGCTGAATGTGTGTTTCCTGGGGTTTTTTTCAGTCCAGAGTGAGCATTATCCCGCTGTGCTGTATTCTGTGTTCAGAGTCATGCCCCTCGCCAGGATCTCCCATGAATCACTAAGGTGACGCGTGTCTCGGGCATGTCCACACCGGTTTCTATTATTCACTTCCACTAATGCATTGCTACTGTTATTTGCGTTCCTGTTAGCTGTGGAAGGCTAGCACCGCTAAGTCCGGTGGATAATAACCCACTGTTAAATGAAGGCGATTAAAGAGTGTATTGTTAATCCAGGTCGGCCATTACCTTTCTGAATGACTGAATACTGTATAACCGCATATAAGTACAGAGGATAAATCTCATGTCACGTCGAGAATTTTGACGTCATACTTATGATGATGTTTATCCAATTGATGAAACCAAAATTGAACTCTAGAATGTATTAATAGATTTGTCATTTCAATCGTAAATGTTGCACTGTTACTTTACAAATACTGTATAATGTCAGTATCACGTATAATAATGTTATAATGTTAGTAATAGTAATAATATAGTATAGTAATGTTATAATAATATATTCACGTCATAAATTACAACTGTGACGTCATAATGTATTTACACACTCCAGCGACGACAGCAAGTAATTTAACAATTGTAGGGAGACATTTGAATTAAATATACAGTATTTGTCATGAGACAGCGAAAGTACTATGTATGAAACTGATATAAAGAAGATGATGGACTAACGTAGACTTTATTATTTTATTATATATATATATATATATATATATATATATATATATATATATATATATATATATATATATATATATTCACCATCTATGTTTTAATGGGCTACGAGGCGACAATGCGTCCAACCCACCTCGGGGTAAAGCAAGCATTCACCCAACCGCGACTTTTAGTCACGAGAAGCCCTAGGCTCAAGTACGATGTGTATTACTAATACAGGATATTTACCATTCTAAAATACACTCCCGTGATAACCTCTATATACAATGACGTAGGTAAGACATATAAGACACATACGTATACAATGACGTAGGTAAGACATATAAGACACATACGTATACAATGACTTAGGTAAGACATATAAGACACATACGTATACAATGACTTAGGTAAGACATATAAGACACATACGTATACAATGACGTAGGTAAGACATATAAGACACATACGTATACAATGACGTAGGTAAGACATATAAGACACATACGTATACAATGACGTAGGTAAGACATATAAGACACATACGTATACAATGACGTAGGTAAGACATATAAGACACATACGTATACAATGACTTAGGTAAGACATATAAGACACATACGTATACAATGACGTAGGTAAGACATATAAGACACATACGTATACAATGACTTAGGTAAGACATATAAGACACATACGTATACAATGACGTAGGTAAGACATATAAGATACATACGTATACAATGACGTAGGTAAGACATATAAGACACATACGTATACAATGACGTAGGTAAGACATATAAGACACATACGTATACAATGACGTAGGTAAGACATATAAGACACATACGTATACAATGACGTAGGTAAGACATATAAGACACATACGTATACAATGACGTAGGTAAGACATATAAGACACATACGTATACAATGACTTAGGTAAGACATATAAGACACATACGTATACAATGACGTAGGTAAGACATATAAGACACATACGTATACAATGACTTAGGTAAGACATATAAGACACATACGTATACAATGACGTAGGTAAGACATATAAGACACATACGTATACAATGACGTAGGTAAGACATATAAGACACATACGTATACAATGACTTAGGTAAGACATATAAGACACATACGTATACAATGACGTAGGTAAGACATATAAGACACATACGTATACAATGACTTAGGTAAGACATATAAGACACATACGTATACAATGACGTAGGTAAGACATATAAGACACATACGTATACAATGACTTAGGTAAGACATATAAGACACATACGTATACAATGACGTAGGTAAGACATATAAGACACATACGTATACAATGACTTAGGTAAGACATATAAGACACATACGTATACAATGACGTAGGTAAGACATATAAGACACATACGTATACAATGACGTAGGTAAGACATATAAGACACATACGTATACAATGACTTAGGTAAGACATATAAGACACATACGTATACAATGACGTAGGTAAGACATATAAGACACATACGTATACAATGACGTAGGTAAGACATATAAGACACATACGTATACAATGACGTAGGTAAGACATATAAGACACATACGTATACAATGACTTAGGTAAGACATATAAGACACATACGTATACAATGACGTAGGTAAGACATATAAGACACATACGTATACAATGACTTAGGTAAGACATATAAGACACATACGTATACAATGACGTAGGTAAGACATATAAGACACATACGTATACAATGACGTAGGTAAGACATATAAGACACATACGTATACAATGACGTAGGTAAGACATATAAGACACATACGTATACAATGACGTAGGTAAGACATATAAGACACATACGTATACAATGACGTAGGTAAGACATATAAGACACATACGTATACAATGACGTAGGTAAGACATATAAGACACATACGTATACAATGACGTAGGTAAGACATATAAGACACATACGTATACAATGACGTAGGTAAGACATATAAGACACATACGTATACAATGACGTAGGTAAGACATATAAGACACATACGTATACAATGACGTAGGTAAGACATATAAGACACATACGTATACAATGACTTAGGTAAGACATATAAGACACATACGTATACAATGACGTAGGTAAGACATATAAGACACATACGTATACAATGACTTAGGTAAGACATATAAGATACATACGTATACAATGACGTAGGTAAGACATATAAGATACATACGTATACAATGACGTAGGTAAGACATATAAGACACATACGTATACAATGACGTAGGTAAGACATATAAGACACATACGTATACAATGACGTAGGTAAGACATATAAGACACATACGTATACAATGACGTAGGTAAGACATATAAGACACATACGTATACAATGACGTAGGTAAGACATATAAGACACATACGTATACAATGACTTAGGTAAGACATATAAGACACATACGTATACAATGACGTAGGTAAGACATATAAGACACATACGTATACAATGACTTAGGTAAGACATATAAGATACATACGTATACAATGACGTAGGTAAGACATATAAGACACATACGTATACAATGACGTAGGTAAGACATATAAGACACATACGTATACAATGACTTAGGTAAGACATATAAGACACATACGTATACAATGACGTAGGTAAGACATATAAGATACATACGTATACAATGACGTAGGTAAGACATATAAGATACATACGTATACAATGACGTAGGTAAGACATATAAGATACATACGTATACAATGACTTAGGTAAGACATATAAGATACATACGTATACAATGACGTAGGTAAGACATATAAGATACATACGTATACAATGACGTAGGTAAGACATATAAGACACATACGTATACAATGACTTAGGTAAGACATATAAGATACATACGTATACAATGACTTAGGTAAGACATATAAGATACATACGTATACAATGACTTAGGTAAGACATATAAGACACATACGTATACAATGACTTAGGTAAGACATATAAGACACATACGTATACAATGACTTAGGTAAGACATATAAGACACATACGTATACAATGACTTAGGTAAGACATATAAGACACATACGTATACAATGACGTAGGTAAGACATATAAGATACATACGTATACAATGACGTAGGTAAGACATATAAGACACATACGTATACAATGACGTAGGTAAGACATATAAGACACATACGTATACAATGACTTAGGTAAGACATATAAGATACATACGTATACAATGACGTAGGTAAGACATATAAGATACATACGTATACAATGACGTAGGTAAGACATATAAGACACATACGTATACAATGACGTAGGTAAGACATATAAGACACATACGTATACAATGACTTAGGTAAGACATATAAGATACATACGTATACAATGACGTAGGTAAGACATATAAGATACATACGTATACAATGACGTAGGTAAGACATATAAGACACATACGTATACAATGACGTAGGTAAGACATATAAGACACATACGTATACAATGACGTAGGTAAGACATATAAGACACATACGTATACAATGACGTAGGTAAGACATATAAGACACATACGTATACAATGACGTAGGTAAGACATATAAGACACATACGTATACAATGACTTAGGTAAGACATATAAGACACATACGTATACAATGACGTAGGTAAGACATATAAGACACATACGTATACAATGACTTAGGTAAGACATATAAGATACATACGTATACAATGACGTAGGTAAGACATATAAGACACATACGTATACAATGACGTAGGTAAGACATATAAGACACATACGTATACAATGACTTAGGTAAGACATATAAGACACATACGTATACAATGACGTAGGTAAGACATATAAGATACATACGTATACAATGACGTAGGTAAGACATATAAGATACATACGTATACAATGACGTAGGTAAGACATATAAGATACATACGTATACAATGACTTAGGTAAGACATATAAGATACATACGTATACAATGACGTATGTAAGACATATAAGATATATACGTATACAATGACTTTGGTAAGATATATAAGGTATACACTTATACCTTCTACGGGCAAAGTACTCGCAGATGAATATTAATGACATTTCACTGGATGTAAATGTGTACATAATTTTGTATGTTTATACTTGTTTATAAGTACTCCTTCGAGACACACTTATACAGTATTCAGACCAGTCCAGTTATACATTATAACTCTGCGTAGAGCTTGAAGATCATAATAATCTTAAGTTTTCTAACAGTTATTGCATGGTATAAAAAGATAGCTAAATATCTCTAACATTTTTTTTTATTTTTTTTTTTTATTTTTTTTTTTTATAGTAGACATGAGTACATTTTATTTTCCAAGTGAAGGGTGGACATAATATTTCTGGAGGAGGAACATTTGGCGAGATCTTTACACATTGCAGATTAGCAGAGAATACTTGAAAAAGCAAGGGAACATATGGTAGAAGCCAAAATAGGGAATTGCATCGGACATCTTT